TTGCCGTTGCCGTTGCCGCCGCCGCCGCCGCCGTTGTAGTTTCCACCACCGCCATCAAGTTCATCTCGCATCCCCTCCGAGTCGTACCGCCGCCACGCGACTGTAGCCCCCACCAGAAGCGTAAGCGTGTGTCACGCTCCGGATAGCTCTCGGTGCGTGCCCATTATTGAGGAGGGGGTAAGGGGCGCGTGTAGCAACGACGCTGTCGTGGGGGTAACCTGGCCGTCGGCGCGGTGGGGATGGAATTACGCTCGCGTAGGGACCGCCAGTAGTTCCGTGCTGTCTGCCGTGCGGGTAGGATACGACGTTACTCGTGACGTGACAGTCTCGTCTGATTTCACCCCATTTAGCCAGCCTTACCCTGCAGAACGAACCCGTCGTCAGCAACGTCGAATCGCGCGCGCTCTCTCTCTCTCGTTTCTCTCTCCCTCTCTTTCTCCTCCTCGAGTGGACTCGGGGACACGAGGAGAGAGAGAGTTCGATCGTGTGGAAGAAACGTCGCTCGCACGTCCGCGTTTAGCACCTGGGGGATCCTCTCGTTTCCAACCCCCGACGAGCGCGACCGCGTTCTCGGTGGACGCGCGCCGAGTGTACATGTCGTGATGCCGCGGGGTGAGCGACGCGCGCCGCCGAGAGGACTCGCGGCCGAGGGTGCTTCGATCTCGTCCTGACGATACTTAGCCCTCGTGCGTCACCCTCAGTGGACCGTTCCAGTAGTGGTGCGCGTTCGGTAGAATAATGTTGGTGTGAGTGGGGAAAAGGCTCCCGACACCACGGTGCGCGGTGGTGCATCCAGGTTCGTCATTCCGGATGGATCGGGGATACGTCTTTAGAGATTGTGCCGGTTCCGTCCGCTCGTGATCTCCGACGGGAAAGAGACGAGCGTACGCGTAGATCCCCCTCCCCCCCTGCCCCGCTCGCTGTACTCTGTATCCTCCCCCGTATATACGCCAAGTGTGTGCGACGTGTAACACGTGTGACAGTTACCCTTTACCCGTGGGATACCACCGCGGATTATACGTTTTCTTCGACCGCAAAGGGTGGTCTCGGAGGCGCCGTGTGCCGGATTACACATATACGTACACATACACATACACATACACCAGTGGTTCTCCTTGGTGCACCGTTACGGCGGATTCATCCCTAAAGGATATGTCGCTATAGTGCTCACACCGATCGCAGCTACGATGGCCGGATACTCCAGTGCGCTCAATACGGATTTCGCTCCGGAATCAGCGCGGAGGATGCAACGATCTGCGATCGATGCTATCGGGAATGCCAGGGAATCCTCCGTATACGCGATTACGAGGTACATACCTTACGTTTTGAGAAAACTCCTCCGACATCAGGGAATTACTTCATTATCGAATATTGCGTTTCAGCTCCGCGACGTTTATTGTTAAGTCGAAAATTTAAGTAAAAATTAAATTTATTTATTAATACACGTTCACGTTTTTGCGAATCTTTATTGCGAAACGTAAAAAAAAAATCTATTATTTAGGCCATACGTATACATATATTTAGCCGGAGGATAGATTATATACTAAAAGATCATCAATTTATTTTGAAAATCTACTTGTGCATATTGCATGTCATGCACTTTAAATATCAAATATTCGATCGCGTCAGTTAAACACATAAATTTAAATACACATGAAATGTTCAAAGAGCGCTGCGTGCACACACATTTTTGATGATTATTACAAATTTGCATTACCGCCGAGTACAAAATATATTCTGTTTCAAATCTAATATATAAAAATGATCCCATTCCATTTTATAAGAATTAATAGATTATATGTTATATACTAATCTGCGAATTAGGAAGAAATCAAAGGACTTTTTTTTTCTCCTTCTTGAAAACTTTTGAAAGAGCATACAATGGCCCTTTGAAGGATTCCAAATGAGGAATGACTTTTGAATTATTGTACCGTAAGTTGTTAAACGTAAAGTGAGCAGCCAATGAACCACGCAAATTAACGAAGAATTATACGGCTCGTAAGGCTATTTATTCTTCCAGGTAAATTTAGCATCTCGTCGTTTCATAATTAAACGTGAGTATCGCGAGGGCTCACTTTTGATCCCGCACCAACCCGCTAAATCTAAAACATGTAAACGTTCGTCACATGTATACATTATACATATGCACATGCGTGCGACGCTACTCGCATTTGCCACAATGCAGAATAATCTATGGGGATTCCAGTGACAACGGTTTCCGCGTTCGCGCAGCGTGCGCGCGCGCGCGCGTGCGTGTATATACGCGCGTGTGTATACGTTCGACGCCTTAAAATATTCACGAGATCAATATTCCGCACTTGACGCGATATACGATTTTAGCATTGCGTCGCGAGACTTTTCGCGAGACTTTTCGCGAGACTTTTCGGCAACTGGTTCAAACACGAAAAAAAAAGGGGCGAATCATCGCATACGCGACCTTTTGCGAGATGTGTGCTTGTCCGCTCGTATCGAGATTAACCCTTATCTTACCGTGATATCGGAGATTCACCGCTTTCCGGAAATATTTTTACAAATTTTATATGTAATATTTTATATACATTTCTATACGACGATATTAACGTTTAAAGAGAGAGAGAGAGAGAGAGAGAGAGAGAGAGAGAGAACGGGAGTTTATTTTTTAAATCTTACAATTTTTCCTTGAGTTAGAGAAAAGATATTTGTTATAATTTCATTATTTTATATTGTAATCCTTGTCTCATAAAATATGACTATGTTTCAGCGCCGCTATATAATAACTTTTTCGTTAGGTAAAATATTAATTTTATATAAGAGTAGAATCTCTCACCGTAATTTTTTTCTGCTGTGTCTTGCATGACATTCACATGAAATATCGTAGAGTTAAGAAAGCTATTCTTCGAATTGATTACACGAAGGTACCTGTTTCCCGAAACAGGTGCGAGCCTGTGGAGCCTAATGGACCCGTCCGCTAGGCGGAGGGTTAAGTGACACGCGGTGAAATTAAATGCCGTTACCCTCGAAGAAATTTACGCGATCGATACAGATACGCGCGGTATAAATATGGCGCTACCAAGGTCCAAGAGATGCCAGATCGCCACATCGGCCGATGATAAATGGTCGAGTTAATGGCCGACGTACTATTAATGAGAAAGAGGATTTGTTGATGTCGGCGAAAATAAGAAACCGACGAATCAACGTAAAGATGGTAGATGTTTAGATTAAGTTTTTTGCTCGTCCGTCTTTGTTAGAGCCCGACCATCATGGTTGGCAGTAATAAAATTTTGATCCAACGCTTTCTGAATCTTCGCGTTCAAACATTTCTTTTATTCATTTTATAAATACGTATTTGCTCTTTCTTGCAAATGTATTTTGTCAAAGCTATCGATTAAAATTTCTACGAAATGTTATGTGCCTATTGTAAAGCATCTTTTATTTTTTAATTTCCATTTTATACGTCTTGTTAAATCATATATCGACAATTTCCAGTTTTCTGTATCAAGAGATGCGCACGTTAAGTAAAAAAGACTAAATGTAGGATAAACAAATAGGAGAAATATACAAGAAATAAATTCAACTCATATCGAATATAAAAGTAATATATCGAATATAAAATTTCGAACTCGATATCAAGTTTCAAATTTAAATTCTCACCAAATTGACTTTACTATTCGATATAAGATTTAATCCTAAAGCGGATATAGACTAATTTTATTAGAATCTCACAAATTTTAGAATTATACGTTCAATGATATGACAAATTAATGTAACATTTACATTTATAAATGCAATCATCTCATTCATAGTATCAATTTATAATATCAATTTTAATTCCATTATTCAACTAGGACGGATATAAAATTTTGAAAAATTAACGCGTTAATAGAAATATCCGTTCAATTTTTAACTATGATAAAATGTATACCACCGTTAATGGTAGAACGTAAATATGTAATAAACTTATAACGAATTCTTTAATGCAGGTAATGCATAGTGTAGCGTAGATATTTGGGAATAAAGGTAACTAAGAGAATATAACGTAATATTCGGTACACCGCAATGTTGCACGGAAATAGTTTCTAATATGTGCACAGAGAGCTCATAGCGCGAGCGTTTACGGGTTAATGTCTTTATATTCTAGCGTTCGTGTTTGTTACTGAAAGCGTGGATGTATAGATCGTATCGGCCGGACATTTACTGCCTTCATTCCTCCCTGGTAAAGAAATATTTGAGCAACAGCTTGGGATCCTATAAATTTACAGTATGAAATCGATTAGCTTTCGCAAACTTAAGCAGAATTTATTAACAGTCTTATAGCCTTTCTGGATCGTTTATACGCGAAGCATCCTTGTTGTGGCGCTTTCTTTCTTAACGGAGTGTTAGACAATCCCATTATTTGACTGTTTGCATTTAAGCGGCTTTATATAGCAGATAATATCGCTAATTAATTTCACACAGTTATTATATGTGCCAGATTTAATATCAATGACTGCAAATCATCCGCCACAGTCATCGCTGGAAAAATTTACATTTGTGTAATAGAGATGAAGATATAATATCAGATTTGCTTTTTGAAATATTTAATCGAAAAATTGAATGCGATTAAATCGAGTTTTTCATCAAATTTTAATCAAAAATCGAGTTCAAATATGTCAAAGCGTCCGTACCTGTCAGGATTGTGACTAACGATTACAGCGGCACACGCTCGGCCACGCGTCCTACGTCATTTATATACACTTTCTATGTACTTTACGTATATGTACGTTACACGATAAGCTAACAGCCCCTAATAATTAAGTCGACGCTCAAGCGCGGGTCTAGGATCGAGTCTACGGGTTAACTCGCGTGCATCTATCGGCGATTTTCAACGTTTAATGAGAAATCTAAATTGCGGATTGAATGCTGCAATGAGTTCCGCGGCAAAGTTCTACGATAGTAAGCGAAGTGCGCGAAGTTAGAGCAATCGGAATCTTAAGATTCTCACCGGGAAGGTTAATTCCATTTAATAGTACGGGGAGGGAAGGGAGGGCAACTTCAATCTCTAAGGTTTTATAAGTTCGATAACGAAGCCACGTAGGAAGGGCTCGTCTTCCTT